AGGAGGTAGAGGAACGAATGCCCATGCGGACGAGGGAGGGTTGTAGAGATCACGAAGGGACGGGTTTGAGTTCATCAATGATCATGCAATGTAAGCCCCCCGAGATGTCAATGGGAGAGTCGAAGAAAACCTGTTGCACTTGGCAGGGAGTTGCTGGTCTATGAGATGGCAAGAATGCACTTCTGACTTGACGAGCTTCTAAAACGCCGAACTAAAACTAGAGTAAGTTAACGGAAGAGTCGGATACTTGCTGTAGCTAACTGACCGCCCCAAATTCGCCGAATACCACGTGACCATCGGCATGGGGAACAACAACTATATGCATTTATGACTCAAACGGTCAAACCCATCATTTGTGCCTATGGAAGTAACATCTAGTCTATGAAGCGGGCACCGAACTTATTCACGATCTATCAGCCACTTGAGCATCAGCCCTTGACACACGAGTGAACATGCAACTGTCACATATCCTTTGGCTGCGACAGTACTTATTTGATCCCTGATGAGTCTGGTCTGTCCCATATGTTGGGGACACCACGTCAATGTCATTCTCAGCACTGGAAGTGTCAAGACAGATGTGACTTCATTCTCTTGGATCAGACTCCAATGGAGTTTTCAGTCAATTGTTTGTGAGGATCATGCAGCAACAACGGTATTTGAAATCCTGGTTTGCATTTCTTATGGGTACTTAACTTTACAGGTCTGATGTCATAACAGCTGGGGCTGGTGGTCAATGTGTTGTTCTCGCCCTCAAACGAGTGAAACGCGCGGCCTTCAGAAAGGGTATGGTCGACGTGTCCAAAACTGATATGTCCCAAAACCTTAGGTGAACATCCCATTTGCCTTTAGTTTTGCGACAACTCACTTGGACACCGCAGCAACACATCCCCCCCAATTCGAAGGTCAGGTCCTCGTGTTATAGTGAGCTCACGGACATTTCTCGCACGATAAAATCATTCGAGCAGAATTTGTAGTCGTAATATTACCGTGCAATAAAACTACCAGGTATGCTTAGTGACTTGCTGTTCTTGCAGCCTATGCTATCACAGTGTGCGCATAAGCCATGCTTTACCGCCCAGTGAGTGGGGTCTCCTGATGTCTACCGCAGTTCTCATCGGTTCCGGACGATCCTCCTGTGGATCAGTGATCGAGTCACCGTTCAGTTCGAGTTTATCTCACAACTGAGTTCGTCAAGGTTGGGATGAAGTTGTTGTTCCATGAGGGTAAGACCAAGGTACTGTTGATGGCTGCTCTGTACTTAAAGTTGCACCTCTGACTGTGGACACATCCAGGGACTCGGTGTTATCACTCGTCTGCTATGACAGAGGGGAGCATAATTGTGGCGTGGTGACCAGCCAGACTTTTGTTGATGTCCTAGGGTTCCTCGCTCGGGAGGATTCGCACACACTAGCCACCCTCTTCGCACTCCATCACAGTTACTTTCACTCCATCTTTTCTCTAACGTGGGCCTGGTTGGCTGTAATAACTCCTCGAGTATGGCGTATTGTATTGGTATTTTACGGTAATCGTTCGGCTATGTAGTAAATGTATCAATTCTGAGAGTTTGCCGAGAGTAAAGTGTTCATCGACCTCAAGTAGTTGCAGACTTCTCAAGTTAGAGGGGACCTGGTCCGATGACTAGAACCTCCAATTGATTTTGCGGACATGCGAGAACTCTTTCTCGCGCCCGGCGAGGCTGAACCCGATTTCATCCCATCCTCTGCGCCAGAAAACTCGTCTTCGTCACTGCTGGGCGGTGTGACTTGTAATTCCTCGTCACTGTCACTTTCGGATGACACCTCTTTCCGGCGCATGCTCCCTTTCACCCTTTTTGCAGAGGGTTTTTTGGCTCCCGAGCTCCCTTTCTTCCTTTTCTTTGCTGTCGGCAGCTTCGGATGTGCTTGGTAGTGCAAGAACTGATCGAACCATTCCGCACGAAATCCAACGCATTTCATGACGGTGAAGCCGATCACGAGCCTTCCATCATTGAGTGCCTCCCGAAGACCGTGTGTCGTAAGTTCGATGAGACGAATTTCACCCCCCTTGTCTACGAGCTCGGCATTCGTGGCTTCGACCCAATGCTGCCCCCACTTGGACTTCAGAGTTCCCTCCACCCAAGTTCGCACGACCAGAGGAGGGAGCAGGTGAAGTTGGTGAGGTGTGATCTCACCTGACCGAGAGGTCTCGTATGAACCAAAGTACATCCATTCATTTGGTTTGCCGGATACGACAACGTCGACTGATCCAGTAATGGGTGTGCCATCTTCGAAACTCCCCACCCCACTGAATACGACGCCATGCTCTCCCGGAACGAGCGGGAGATGTGGATTCCAAGATCGTTTGAGGGCCATGCTGTGATGCTCGCTTGAGTAACAGTAGGTTATGTAGACTCGGGGTACGCACTAGGGGTACCTATTCGATTTACTAGTTGGACCTTGCCAGTTGACGAATGTATTTTGCCAATTTCCGCCAAGAGCCTGAAGTAATATCAGGTATTAGCCTAATTTGTTAGAGGCCCTGGGAATCCCGAGCTCACGTTGCTGATTACAGAACGCCTGAATCCAATGTGAAACCTCTTTTCTACGACGACTGGAGGTCCGAGACGAAGGTGCTCAAGATTCCAGATGTCGAACTTCCCATCCTCGCTCTTGACAAACGTAACATGGGCGTTCAGATCAGGTTCGTGTTCAAGTTCGGACTTGATAATAACGGCAATTTTCACGCCTTCCGGCTCTGGTTTGATGGTAGTAAAACTAGATCCAGAAGTGTCGGATGTTTGGGGCTGCGAGGACGCTGCGTTTTGAGGCTCGTCTTCGAGTATAGGACGGTTGGATGCGAAGCTGTCGGACATGTCTTGGTCGATGTCCTGATGCCACGTAGCTTCGACGGCAGTCTCATTTGGCTTCCCGCAAAAGTCAGTATCAGAGCCAAAGTGAAAAAATGCTCGCGTACAGCGTCCGACTTCAAGCTATTCAGCTTAATCATATTGAAATTAAGGTTTTTGACCTTTTGAATTTAAGAAATGATGCAAGTATTTAGTATTCGAGCGAGTGGCTTGTTATACACGAACCGTTTCGTCATCGAGCTGCCGCAAGATATTCTTCAACTCGTCTTGAAGGCCTGTGATCTCGGCAGTCTGAATGTTTCGTTCGTTCTTGAACTGCTTGTTTTCCTTGCGGAGTTTATTTAACTCCTTGCCCTGTTCCGCGACGAGCTTGCTTTTGGCTGTCAGCTTTGCCTTGAGGTTAGCTACCTCGGAACTGCGGTGTGATATTTCTGTGGACTCCTTCTTCACTGAGCGAACATTTTTACTATTACTATCAGTGTCCGAATCACTGAGTTCGATTATCTCATTTTGCATTTTGGTGGTTGCTGGGCCAACTTGAAACACCCAGGTTTCCGAGATCGAGGAGGTAGTAGCGCAAAGGCGGAATCCAGAGAGGGCTGGAGCAAAAGAGACGGAAAAAATGCAAGTTCAGCACAAACGAGTATTGAGCAGGGTTCAGGACTGTCTCACTGGTATGTTAGGCCTTGAAAATGGTAAGAAACATCAATTTTCAATGGCAAGGAATTACGAGACCCTGAGTACCCCATCGGAAGCAATAGCACTAGACTAATATGAATTATGCGTTCACGCTTCATACATTCATTACAATAAGAGGTTATTTTTGCTGTGTCGGTACCGATGTGTATATAATAATAACAGAGCCTTCGTAAGTATGATCAAGTGGCGAGGGACGTGAGTTTGAAGTAGTGGCCCACAAGCAATCCTGCGTAGACCAGCCGCGCCATGGCAGCATAACTCAATATGAGATTTAGCACATACGGCTATGGCAGTCAGATGCACCATGAATGTCTTCAGCTGTCTTTGGCATTATGTTGGTCAAAGGACCAGGTGTGCCAGAGACAGAATGAACGGCGTAATGACACTCATCACAAATGGCAGGCGCTGGCCGTTCAAGTCAGCCCACGAAAGGCATTCAATAAAGCCCAAGTCAAATAAACTTAATGCAGGACGCCTCTGCTCAGACTGACTGCCATGGACTTGACTACCATCATGATCATCTCGTCGTCCTTCCTACTCTAAGACGATATAATCAGCGCACGCCTCCTAGTACGAAACGCTCCAGGTGACTCACCAGACATGCATCAATGGTATCGTAAAGACACGTCCAGCCACAGGGCCATTATCAGTGACTTATAACAAACCGCCTTCTCCAAACTTACCAGCACGACGCGATTGTGATAGTCAGGATAACATCCCTGATGCGATGGCTCGGATGATCGGATAAGGCTCCGAATCCAGATCCAAGCGAGGGAGAGGGCTGTACGTTCTCATGGTATTTTGAAGTGCATCCGCCAGGTTCCGGTCGTCGATTTGAAAAGCTTTGACGGGTATATTTGAATCGACATATTTTTGCCAAACCTTCAACGTAAATGAATTGTTCGGTGAAATACACACATCTTTGTCAACTTATGCGGGACTTTTTTTACCCGGATCACGCATCTTGGCATCCGGAAAGAATTGTCCAAAGGTTCAACCAGAGAGGCCTGACCGCAGCAATTGCCAATTATTTGACCCGTACGGCGTACACAGCTCTACTGTTCCAGTGTTCCATCAGGTCCCACCGCACGATCTTCACTGTCCGACACTAACAAGAGGGCTTCAAGAGGCTTCAAGTCGGCCATCAGCACCCGTTCTCTGTGCAAACGCAATATCGACTGTCTTGCTGGATATAGGACGAAGTCGGGATGACGCTTGACGAACGTGACAGGACCCTTGAGCGCTGATAAGTTGTCTTGGCTGGGTACAGTGAAGTTAGAAAAAAGATCAGTAACTATAGGAAGATTGTGACTTACAGAGAATTTAGAGTCTAAATTAGAGCCTACTAGTATTAGAGCTGGGCGAGCCTAATATTTTTCCGGTACATGTCCACGTCATGCGTATTGATGGCAGCCTCGAGGTCAGGGTCCTTGGCAGATATTAAAAAGACAGTTCTTGCTCGCTGCAAGGTTCGAACTTGCGACCTCAGGATTACCGAGTGAGCACTCGTCATACGTCCATGTATGAGACCTGCGCTCTAACCAACTGAGCCAAGCGAGCCTGTGATTAAAATTAGAATTTGATTATATAATCAAGCGTCTTGTTGTGTTTTGACGCTAGTACTTGACAAGACTTTACAACTTAGTCTTGATCGTGATTGCACTTAACCACCGTCAAGAACACGTTGCTTTGACGAGTCTGTCCTCGCGGCCATTCATTGAGCTCAGCCTCGAGTTGGCTCCGTGCCACAAGTCTTTCAAAATATCTCCCTTCCATCCTTGGCATTTGCTCGGATGACCAGTCGGAAGAGACAGGCCTCAGATTCTCTACTCCCAATGCGTTCTGCTAAATACCAACGCACAGAAGAGAACCAGAGCATTTGGCATCGTTGGTGTCAACTCGGAGCTGACGCATTCACACTTGGCTACGAAACGGTCCGCCTCGGATACCTGTCCCTCATGAACTGTGAGATTAATTCTATTGCCAGACACGATCGTATCCTGACAACGTGTTCAAAGCCTCTCAAAAACCAGGTAGATCTCAAACTGTGTCCCAGCAGCCGGAAAAGCCTAATCAACCCGGCTCTTTACCCTCCCAAGCTACCCATTTAGCTTTGCCACCTCGTCTGCCTATACCGGAAGAGTTCCATAAACCCATAGACTCACAGCCAGTGGCAGGCCGCTCGCGGCTTTCATCTTCTTTACCATCGCGTTCAGAATCCTCGAATGCACTCAACGGAAACGGAAACTCACCTCCCTCAACCCTCACCGGACACACCTCAGTCACGTCGGTTCCCTCGAGATCGAAGGAACACATTCAACACAGCCAGTCGTATGACTTCATAGGAAGTTCCGCGCACGGACGAGGAGTGGTAGGTGGCATTCGCCCTCGGCGGAGTCGAGATCATATATACGCTCATGTTGTAAGTGTATACGCAATGCTAACCGGTTCCTATATCTTACTATCGACCGATGTTGTAGCACAGAGCCAAAGTACAAGAAGATAGGAAAAAGGACCGCGAAGAGCTGGTGCAAGAACTGTTCCATTACAAACGTTCTACTGGTCAGCATGCTAGTACTTTTTTGATGCTCTATCTCTCACTCTGATTAGGATATACATCAGATTTTGACTCTTTTAAATGTGCGTCCATTCTGTCTTGTCCATGTTTGCATCTAATTTGCATGAATCTCAGCTTTGATTAATTACCAAGCTCGGCTTGAAATTCTTGAACGACATGCACTTTCGCGTGCGTGGTTCTTATTACTTCAGTTTAGCACACTTACGACGTTGTGCATAGCTTCACCATCACTGACAGATCTGCGCGCAAAGCAGTCCTTACCTGAACGCTCCCGTAGGCACTCGTTCTCAGATGTGAGCGTGTGTATACTTCGTTTGCTACTTTACTAAATTGTGCCAGGATGTTGATCCCGACTTCCTGGAACGTGCGCTCAGAAAGGCCAAGAAGTCATTTGAGCTGTATGAGCGTATCTCTGTTTTTTTTCCCCCTCGCTGAATCGATTTTCTATAGTCCGCCACCCAAACCGTTCTCTCCTTCACATGATCGTCTCCGTTTATCTGCGCGCCACAGAGATGAGGCCATTGAGAAGCGTCTACGGCCAAAGCTACCCAAGGTTCTTCCTCCTGACGCTGAAACACAAGTTAACGCGCTCCTGTGCAAGAAAGGAGTCATTTCCAAGGTTGCTCGAGAATCTGTTAATGACCGAGATCTATCTCGGTTACTGCCCAGTCAATGGTTGAACGACGAAATTATGAACTTTTATGGTGCGATGATCTTGACACGCTCGGAGTCCAACCGCGACCCCACCGCAAAGAGAAAGATGCTGGATGTCCATTATTTTAGCACCTTCTTTTGGCCAAAGCTGAAAAATGAGGGCTATGAGCAGGGGCGGCTAGCGAAATGGACGAAGAAGGTCTGTTACTGCCCAGTGAAATTGAAGCTGATGTCTCATTCCGCATACAGATTGATATCTTTTCGAAAGACGCCATCCTTATTCCTATCAACCACAGCAATTCTCACTGGACCGCGGCTGCCATTAACTTCCGTCGAAAACGGATAGAGTCGTATGATAGCATGAATCTTGACCGACATCAAGTCTTCAAGGTACGTTAACTTGCCTAGCGTGCCCAGGAAGGTCCTTATGTTGTCTGTCAAGGCCCTGCGGAGTTATCTGGACTCGGAACATAGAAATAAGCGAAAGAAACCTTTTGACTTCACTGGTTGGCAGAATTACAATCCTGAAGACACACCGCAACAGGAGAATGGTTATGACTGTGGCATGTTCACGTGCCAGTTCTTGGAATCCTTGTCCAGAGGGGAGGAAGAATTCCATTTCTCGCAGCGGGACATGGCCTACTTGCGGCGGCGGATGATTTGGGAAATTGGCCATGCCAAATTCCTGGACGGCCCATGATAATGGGCTTCTACGTCTTGCTCTTTTTACATGGTTTCATGATACTTTGTATTAGCATTTACTGTGGATACGGAAATGGCGTGACTTGAATGACGAGAAAGGCGCACTGAGCAAGCAATTGATCTAAACATATCGATGAACGTCCGTAGCGGGTGATTGTCATCGCCGAAACCACCACACGATGATGAAGAACCAGAATACAAGTACGAGAAATAGGATGTACCATAGCCATCGACAACCCTGCCGCTCTGCCATGTTGTTCATCCGACGAAACGTGCCAGCTAGGATGCCCGAAGTCTCTGCGAATGCGTCGTTCTGCGGAGCACATAATAAGTAAGGAGCCGCAGATGAGTAGAGCGACAGTATGCACGTACCATCTGACTGAGTTGCACAGTCGATTCCCGGACCTCGTTTCCAATACCAACGGTGATCTTTGTATGAAAAGATGAGTTTGATGGGTGGGCGAGACGGGAAGCACCACTTACATCCTTGAGCAGCTTCACCTTGGCTGCCAGGCCTTCCAGCGCCTCGTCGTTCTGACCTTCCAGGTCATCCACGTAGCGGTGGCCAGAAGGTTCTGGGTTCGGGGTGCTATACGGTGACGAGCGTCCCGAAGCTGGAGGTGTCACACCCAGGAGAGCTGAACGGTCCCGTAGCGCTGCACTCGTTGCTCTGTATCTGAAGCATTAATTAATGAACGGTGCAAAGTAACTCCCAGGAGTGCCTCACCTTTGGGACATATAGTGGTGGGTATAAGACCAGCTGCAGCTGCACGCTTCCCGACCAACGGGTGAATTCGAGAAGGAACGACAATATTATTAAAAGCCCTTCGACTCAATACAGCCGAGGCTGAAGTATATGCGGATCCAATTGACAAAAGCGGTGAAGTTACAGTGCATACACCACCTTCCACGTCACACACTTCAGTACGGTAGCACCCAAGCTCGTTCAGTTTGCGGTATATAAATCCGTATCTGTCTATTATAATATCATCGATACATGAAAATATCCACAAAGCACAGGTAACTCCGAGGGAGGGTAAAAAAAACGAATACCAGAAGAAACACAAAGTCTCCGGATCCAGATCGGAGAGCGATGCATGCTACTGGCATGCGCGAAAATATATCCGTAAATACTTATACCTATAAATCGAGAAACTAAAGAACGCGAAACATGGTGATGCGAAGAATATGTGATGGATATATCAATGCAAATGTGATCTTGGTTGGGGTAAGGTGAGGTTGGTGTGTCAAATCGAAAGAGTGGCAAATAGCGCTATAGAATACAAGCAAGTCCGTAGCTGTGACGCACGCGCGCTTTTATTCGATACTCATCCGGTTTGGGTTCGTGCTCATTGGTCCTCGGTTGAAGTGTTGAGAGCCACTTCCCTGCGTATGCGTTTTGCTTCTTGTAACTGTCACACAGCTCATCAGTCAAAGAAACCATGAACAAAAAACACTAACTCGATGCCTTTAGTCCCCGACCGAAATTGCGCATCACCAAGACGGAAACGATGATCGTGATGACGAGAAGGACGATTGCGATTGCAGCTACCATTATCGTGAGCTGCCAGAAAACATTATATATCAAAGGACTTACAAAACGTGGAGAGTGATTTCCAGTACAAGGCATATTGCGTATCCCTGTATTGAAGAACCCGGAAAAGCTAAAACGTCATGAGCAAACGAGTTCTGCGCAGCAAGGTTGCTAAAAAGAGCTCACTTTGTATGTGAAATAGACTAGGGCGCCCATACTTCCAAACATAAACGTTCCCATCATCCACTTATTCTCATGACGTGCGGCAAGGTGGCCTTCGATGAGGAGGAGAATTGATAACGGGAGAGCAGCCCAGGTGACGTAGTACTCCACATCGTTCTTCTGGAGGACCAACCATATGAACTGCACAGAGAAGCCGACCCAAAAGAAGATGTCGAATTTGACAAGACATTCGAAGATCTGATGTGTGGCATACATTTTCTTGATGCGGCGGTCGGCACCCAGAAACTTGTACACCTTCCAGCCGAACTCGTTATAGATTTTCCAGCCAAGACCGATGTACGCTATCTCCGCAGTGGATATGACGGCAGGTATGATGTCAGTGAGAACATTCACTGATACATGCAGAATCCCGGTAGACGTGGTGGACGAGTTCTTGATTTCGCTGATTTGAATAACGGCGTATAACAGGAAAAGAAGGTTGAATATGCTGTAAGAAGAGTGTCAAAAATATGCTATTGTAGGTAAGAAGCAAGATATGTACTCACATGAGAGACAAAAATTGTAGGGTATTGCGTGCATACACCGCATCGACCGCCATGACAAGTTGGAAGATGCTGAATTGTAAAATCGCGTCAAATTAAGACGTTGAAAGATGTTCAAACACGTACTGAGCAAGTGCGAATACGCTGAGATACACCGCCAGTTTCCCCGAGTCATCCTGCAATCGGACAAGCAAGTCGGCCTCGATGGCCAGATCCACTGCGGTCTCAATCACTACAGTTAGGACAAATAATCGACATGCCCAGGAGTCAGGAAGAATCTAGGTAAATTTCAGTAAAAACAACCTGTATCTGTGAAACAGTAGTGCTGACTTTTGCCCAACAACTCCTTGTGTCAACCAGCTTCTCC